CACTAGTAACCACCGTAGGAGGAGGAGGAGTAGCTCATGTAATTATACCTCGACCTAACATTGTTCGAAAAATTACTATTTTTATCATTATAAACGGGCTCCCCATAATCGACTGCCTTCATTACCATTGCCTCTCGTCGTCCCTCTTGTTCTTGTACGGCCCCGAACACTATTTCATTCGATTCCATGCTTTGCGGCTCATAGTAGTTAGTATGTGGGCTAGCGGGTCGGTGCTTTTGATGATGATGCTGCAGTTGCGCCACGTGGCGTTGTGGCTGTGGGCCATTGCCATAGGCTCGGTTTTGCTTGGGGTAGCTTTTCCGAGTGGTGGGGAAGTGCCACGTGTCGGCTGGCGGGGGGCCGTCTTCGCGTGGGACCACAAAGCTCTCTTGAACGGGCCAAGGGCCCGAAGGGTAAACGGGCTTTTTCTTAGGACTCGTGGAGAATAGCCCGCCAAGAATTTCCACAAATGACGAGCCCGTGTTGGAAAAAAAAAGGCCCAATGAAGTGAGCAAGCCCTCCTCTTGCTTCTCGTGTTCGTTTTCGGGTGGTATTAAGGGAGGGTAGACGGATTTGGGTGGCGGCCTTTGGTTCGGTTCCTTCAATTTTATATAATTAAATATTATCAATATAATTAAAACTGGTTTTGATCGATCAGAATTCGTCTAACTCACTTTAACTCAAAATCTAACTCTACCCACTAACTTCAATATTATCAATATAATTAAATAACAAGTATCAATCATTTCTCTTCTACCTCACATCAATTTTAATCCACGATTCATCCACTCACATATTTTAAACTTTTCATCATCCCTTTTTCCTTTTAGATCACATCAATTTTAATTATTATATTTTAAATATTATATAATTACAATCTCTCTCATCTCACTCAATCAACTTTATTCAAAACAACTCACTTGAACTCAAGATTCAATTGTGATCGATTTTTATTGATTTTGACTCCCTATCAATCACCTCTTTAATAATCCATGCAAGGACAA